TCAATCTCCTCTCTTAAGCAGCTGATGCGGACTGAGCCCCAAATGATTCACTGATAATCATTTGTCTTCGTCGCAAGTATCCACTTTTCGTCACAAGAAGAAACTACTCGAAAACCATTCATAATCGTAATCAGAATAAGAGAAAGATTTATGAGGAGCCGTCTGCCACTCCAACTAAAATCTAGTTCTTCACCTTTTGCTTACCTTTCGAAGCAAATGGAGGTACTGTTTAATTTTGCCGAAATAGAACAAAAGCTCCTGTCAACTGACGCACGGTTTGCTGTTGACCCGCTTTCATCAATCGTTTCAAACGTTCACTCCTGCATCGCAATTCATCTCTTCCACGGGTGTTAAATTTTCATGGCCAAACTGCTCAGTTGTTAGTTGCGGGGCTGCGCAAACGTAACCCAATTTCTGCCAGAATTTCATATTCAAGTTGTTACCGTTGTCCCGGTTTTACACGCATAAAAACAAAATTGGAGAAAATCCCCAGTTTTTCACGTCGAATAAACGTTTTCTTGCAAGAATGAACAATTCTAATGGATGCATGCTACAATAAATAAAATTTATGCCCTCGCAGGAGATATATGGTTTTTAGAAGAAAAGCAGCTGCTTCAAGCCACTTTTGGAAGTGAACTGTTATGTTTCGCAAAATTTCACGCTAGCCAGCCCCAACTGCCTGAACTTTTCTAGAGCAATAAATGCTAGACAGTGTACGTCAATCTTGGGAAAAAAAAACTTCCATAACCTTCTATCGTTCAGCAGATGAGAAAGGCAGATCTTAGACACGCACTTCGAAGCGCATCTACCAAACATATCTATTTTGAACAGCCAATGTCAGTCAGCATCCATCCTTTCCGAGCTATTGATAAGAAACAAACCTTAAGTCTTCGTTGACATAGTTATAAGCACAGCTCATAGATTGTAAAGCCTCTATTAGATATAGAGGAGGCAATCCGCCAGAGTATTGCCAAAAAAGAGTTCACCAGTAATCTCAGGCTTGGGAAGTCTTCAACAAAACGAAAAAGCTTCCAATTTCGTCACTAACATTACAGAAATACTCAGTTTTGCAACAGTATGATATAGAAAGCCAAGTGCAGAATTATCATATTGACTTACAAGACGTAGCAAAAACTGGGGCATTGCTGAAGGGATTAAAGGTAAGTGCATAGAAGCTCTTAATTACTACTTCTGATCAGTAAATTTAGGAAACAATCCTTCGAGCAAATAAGACGATTCGAAGAACAGCACCTAATGAAACAAAAAGTAAGGTATTCTTAAAAAAAGCATTTGAATGTCTAATTCACTCCATCGTTTTAGTACTCCGATTGTACGATTCACTTCATATTGCTGCTATGCACATTGTTGAAATTCAACAGTCATACAAAAAATTTCTGAAAACCGTAAGTTCAACAGTTCTTGTACTCAGT